GCATAAGCAGAATAGTAACCCCAACATTTATTTAACAAACATTTGTTGAGCAACTTCTTATGTGTTCTGGGCACTGTTCTAAGTCCTGGAGATATACCAGTAAATAAACAAAGCCCCTGTCCTCATAGCATGTATATGAGGGAAAAGGTCAGAAAACAAACATATAAATAAAGTGCCCGCTGGTGACAAGTTTGAAAAGAAAATAATAATACAGGCTCCGGAGTAAAAGAACGATCAAGATGGAGAGATTTTAATAGATGATGTGATCAGGGAATGCCCCTCTCTGTCACCTTAGACCTAAATGAAGAGAGAAAGCAAGTCATGGAAGCTCTAGGAGACACGTGATACAGGCAGAGGGAAAAACAGGTACAAAAGTCCTGAGGCAGGAGGAGGAAAATGGAGCTGGAATGGACCAGGCTAAGCAGAGGGCGTAGGAGAGAGGGTGGGGTCAGATCACAGAGTGAATTGGAGGCTTTGTCAACAGAGGTTTGAATTTTATACTTAGTTTAAAAGTAGAATTTTAAGAAGGGGTAATGTGATCTGATTAGGCTTTAGACATCTTGTTCTACTGAGCAAAAAATGAACTGGTGCAGAAGGCAAGAGAGAACTTGAGAGACCAGTTGGGAAGCTATTGTAGTTGTCAGGGTGAGGACCTCTGACTCAAACCGGAGTGATGGCTCCTCTCTGGTACATTCCTGTAGCACTCTGGCCTTCCCTCCATCACAGAGCTCATCCCTGTGATGCTGTCATTGAAAAGTGTCCCTTTATATTTTTCTCCTCTGCTGTTCCTCTCTGTAACCTCAGATACAGAACAAGGGGATTGGCAATGGGAGGGTAGAGTACAGTGCGATGGGGAGAAAGAGTTTGAAAGAAAAAAATGATAGAAATAAGTCCAAGATTGCTGTAAAACAGGGGTCATTAACTTGGGATCCGTGGAAGTCTATGAAACCTTTTGAAAAACACATGGCTGTGGGCATTTGCCATGGAGATGGCCCATAGAATTTTATCAAACTCTCAAAGGAGCCAAAAACCCTTAAAGAAAACAACCAGGTAAGCGTCACTGAGTAATTGGGAGAGTGGTATTGCCACTTAATGGAATCACAGGTGTTTATTCAAATTTTTATTTGCATGTGCCATCTCCAACTTCTAAGACAACTACCTTTTTTTTTAAAAAACTTACAATGTCTTAGGATCTTACAACAGATCTGTGTAGAGCAGCAGTCCCCAACCTTTTTGGCAGCAAGGACCAGTTTCATGGAAGACAATTTTTCCACGGACCTGGGTTGGGGAGTGAGCATCAGATCATGAGGCACTAGATTCTCATAAGGAGCACACAGCCTAGATCCCTCCCATGTGTACTTTAAGGTAGGGTTCATGCTCCTGTGAGAACCTAATGCTCCTGCTGATCTGATAGGAGGCGGGGCTCAGGCGGTGATGGGAGCGATGGGGAGCGGCTGTAAATACAGAAGAAGCTTCCCTTGCTAGCTGCTGGCTGCTTACCTCCTGCTGTGTGGCCCGGTTCCCAACAGGCCATAGAGAACTACCCCTCCAAGGCCCAGCGTTTGGAGACTGGAGGTGTAGAGTACAAGTAACCCAAAAATGTCAGTCAACTGAGATTGAATGAGTGTTTCTCAGAATTATTTTGAGCATCATTATTTAAACATTTTTTTTGAAGTTTTTTTAAAAAATTATTTCCTTGATATATAAGAAAGACAAAGGATAAAACAAACATTTTGTACACAGAAAAATACAGGTAGGAAAATATGGAAAATTTTGAGTTTCCCCTGATAATGAAGAAATTTAAACTAAAACAAGCATGAGATTCTACCATATCTGTTAAATTAGGAAAACTAACCAAGTAGTTCTTTTATAATCGTTGGCAGGATTAGGGGCTAAGAGTTGCACCAACACATTTTTGGTGGCTTTGTAAATTGGCCGGTCCTTCTGGAAAGCAACCTGGTATCGTTTAGATATCGTAAACTTGTTCACACAGTTTGATCTAATAATTTGATTCAGTAATCTCAGTGATGGGATTATTAACCAGAGGAATATGTTTATTGCTTGTTATGGCAATACTGTTCATCATAAGGAAAATGAAGTAGTAACCTAAATACCTAAAAATAGTAAACTAGACAAGAATTCTATCTTTAATGGATACTGGCATAAGTAAGATATATAGCTAAATGTGGAACTATTTACACAAAATAATATTGAGTGAAAAGACCTGAACACAGATGTAGACCAATTGCCATAGTGTAAAACAGCTTTGTACATTGATAAAAATCAGAAGACACTGTGCAGTGATATAAATAATTGAGGCTGCAATTTGGGGAGATCTTTTTCCCCTCTAAAGTGTACATTAAATATCCAAAAGTCACACACACTCACACAGAGAGTATCCCCTGAGAGTAGGGGAGTGCACAGTATTATGGGTAAGAGGTGTGGACTCTGGAGCCAGCCAGACGTAGTTTAAGCCCTGAGTTCATTAGTTCTATGACCTTGAACAAAACTTATTGTCTGTAGTTCTCATTTATAAAACGAGAGTTAATACCTTCTCCATAAAATTGTTATAAGCATTAAAAGACATAAGAATGCAAAGTGTTTAGCAAATAGCAATGGCTAGCTATGTCTTAACTAACATTATTTACATACTTTGATTTATTGATAGATAAAATATTTATGTATTCATTAGTATATGTTAGGCTCTTTTGTAAGAGCTAAATGGTATGTCTCCCTGACTAGCCGATGACTTTCATTTAAGGCAGGGACTATATTTTATAATTTTCTTGTGTCTTCTATCTAAAGTATCTAGCAAGGTAATTTGCACATAGTACTTCACACATGTCTATTAGAGAAATGAAGATGTGTTGCTTTTTCCTAAGAATGAATGGTTGTCCACCAATCTTATTCTTTCATATGGAGGGTTTTTTACCC